TTCATCATGATGGAAAATGGTTAACTATTTCCCTCCCAAACATGCTTCTTTAATATAATGGAGATATCCTATCTCCTAGAACTGGAAGGGACCTTGAAAGGTCATCAAGTCCAGCCCCCTGCCTTCACTAGCAGGACCAAGTACTGATTTTGCCTCAGATCCCCAGGTGGCCCCCTCAAGGATTGAACTCACAACCCTGGGTTTAGCAGGCCAATGCTCAAACCACTGAGCTATCCCTTCTACAATTCCTTCTTTCAACGCACCAGAAATAAAAACAGTGAAATTAGAAAGATTTATTTTTGCAGTCTTTTTACGTCAGCTACAGCCAGGAAATCTTTCAGAGAAGATGATTCTGATAATATCTCCAGCTCAGTTTTTAGAACAAAGAGGTTCTGATGGGTTCAGAAGAGTATCTAAACCTCTGAACTTTGGAGTGTTCACCCATCGCTAATTATTACACATACCCCAAACTTGGGGTCAAATTCTCTGAATTACACTAGTGTTACCTTGTTGACATCACTCTGCCTGAATGTTCAGCCTGCTGCCTTGCCACTTCCCTTTGTTCACAAATATGGAAATGAGTAAAATCATCTTGAAATGAATGTACAGTGACCTCATATAATAAATGTGAGGTTGTAGTCTTCTTCTGTATTGTTTTCCTGAAAAAAATCGGAAATTTGATCTCGAAGCTTTCCTCCTCCGGGCACAATACTCATTACAGTGGCACATATGGATTCCTTGTGAATGAAAAGTGAAATATAGACTCTTAGAGCTTATGCAAAACTTGGTGGTTCCAGCTCAAATGCGGTTCAGATAACTTTTTGTTCTTGTGATCTAACCTTTGGTTTTAAATAAATGTGGAATCTCAAAGCAAATTCATAATAAACTACAGAATTTTGAATGGCTTAGAGTCTAAGCCATTGTGACATACCAAGGTACACTCCAGACCAATGTAAGGGTTGCAAGCCACACTCTGAATGTTTGTGCGTAACTGCAGCCTACCAGCCACACTTGGGCTACACTCTGGTTCTCACCAGCTGTGGTTATACAGCAGGGTCTGTCCCAACACACTCTAGTCTTAAATTTTCCTTCAGAAATACATGTCCTATGCTGCCCAACCCTCTCCTGAACAGTACAAATATTTTAAGCCCATTATTCCCGGAAGGGAATAATATGCCAGTTTATTATTTCAAATAGTTATTCAGACACTTCAATTAAAATACACTGGATTAGATAAAACCGTAAAACAAGTTTATTAACTACAAAGAGAGAGATTTTAAGTGAGTACAAGTATGAGGCAGAAAAGTCAGAAATGGTTACAAGAAAGATAAAAATAAAATGTTTACTAATGCCTAACTTAACAATTTAGATTCAAGCAAAGTTTCTTACCACATGCTCCAGTAGATTACTGACCAAATTCTCAGGTCAGTCCCCCAGAGTCCAATACCTGCTTCCTTGTCTCTTCAGGTGCAGTGAATGCAATAGGCGGGAAATGGGAGGTTGGAATGTTTGTGAATTAAGCAGAGCAAACATTCCTTTGTTTAGGACAGACCTATTTGACAACTTCTGTTTGGGCAGGGCTGGGGTTTGAAACATGTGCTAGTAACACCATACAGGGGAATCTCATAACTTCGCATACTATTTTGCCACACATATTTTATCAAGACAATACTGACCAGGAAATTATGAGTTTTAGTGTAGCAAATCAGTTTTGTGATTCCCAAACTGTTTTAAATAATTGCAGCTGTGAAAAGAAACGCTGTTGAATGAATTAAAATACATCATTAGAGCAGTGTTATTGATTGAAATTCTATCCCCAAGCTACAAACTTTTCATAATGAGCATGAGTTTGAAAGTTTTGTAACCTTCTCCATGTCAGGAAGTTGGTAATTGAAAAGGCGAGTGGTGATATGCCCGAAGAGATAGCACCAAAGAGCTAATTCCAAGCCCCCAAAGAGGATGGCTCCCTTTTGACAAGAAGGACTCAGACTCTGGGGTGAGTTACTTTTCATTATTTATTATTATTTTATTTTATTAATCATAATACAGTATAGTAGGAAAATAAGAATAAAAAAGCAAACAGAGTAAAGATATATTCTTCAATATTTTTCCCCATTGTATACATTTTTACTTAAAAAGTATTCTCAGTGCACTAATGCATTTAGAAATGCCTAAATTTGAAGGAGAGTGACAATGGAGCTCCTGGCAAAGATCATTTTATTCAGAGCATATGCACTTGAATAATAAATGCTGCATGTATCATTGGCATAATATACTCTTGCCTCTACTTATTTTTCATTCAGTACTTAGTTTACAAAGGGTGAAGAGTTGGCACTGTAGGAGTCTGCTGTTTACCCTCCAGTTAGATACCATGCTGTATGATACAGGCGGCTTCATAGGGAGCTCCTCTCAGGCCTTAACAGTAACCTTGACACCTTGACCAGAGAGGAATACTCGCTCCATGGGTGAGAAGTAATTCAATCTCCATGCTAGTTCTGTCTGAGCCTAGGGAGATGAGCAGTCTAAAAAACACCAGTTATATTTGCATGGTGGTGTGGTAATTCTGCACAGAACTGTGTATTTATGAGTCAGATACTCAAAGGGAGCTCAGCATGATCTCTGAAGTTTTTTTACATGTACAAAACTTCACATTTGAATGTGCAAATTTCATTGTTTGCTATCTCATTGCCTGAGCAGTATACCCCAGTCTGTGCACCCCATTGCAGGATATTGTGACAGATACGACAATTTCCTGCAATATCTTTGAGAGATCTTACTGTGTTAAGTTTATGTATCATTTATGTTTTGCATTTACTATATGAGGTCATTGTACAATTCAGTGGTTCTCAAACTTTTGTATTGTTGACCCCTTTTACACAGCAAGCCTCCTCTTATAAATTAAAAACACATTTTTTATATTTAACACTATTATAAATGCTGGAGGTGAAGCGGGGTTTGGAGGTGGAGGCTGACAGCTCACGACCCCCATGTAATAACTTTGCGATGCCCTGAGGGGTCATGACCCCCAGTTTGAGAACCTCTGTTGTACATTCATTTCAAAAATACTTAGCATGGGACAAAGCAGGGAGGTGCTTAAGGGAGAAACCGAGAGGTAGGCGAGAAAAACAGGAACTGCTGGCAAAGCAAAGGTAGGGTCAACATCACGATAGACTACTAGATCAACTAGGTTATGAAGGACCGTAAAGATATAGACAAGAATCTTGTATTTGATTGGGAGGTGATGGGGTGCTAATGTAGGGACTTTTGAGGTTGACGTGGTCAGAATGAGAAGCCAAGATGATAATTTTAAACACAGCATTCTGAATAGACTTGAGGGGAACAAGGTGGTTGTAGTAAAGGCCAGAAAAGATAAGGTTACAGTTGTCAAGATAAGAAATGATGAGGGTTTGGAAGAGAGTTTTGTTTGTGTGGACAAGGTGACTTACTATTTAGAAAAGCTGGACATGCACAAGTCCAGATCTAAGGGTACTGAGGGAGTCGGCTTATGTGATTGCAGAGCCATTGGCCATTATCTTTGAAAAATTGTGGCGATCGGGGGAGGTCCCAGACCATTGGAAAAAGGCCCATATTTAAAAAAGGGAAAAAAGAGAACCCGGGGAGCTACAGACCGGTCAGCCTCACTTCAGTCCCCAGCAAAATCATGGAGCAGGTCCACAAGGAATCCATTCCGAAGCACTTGGAGGAGATAAAGGTGATCAGGAACAGTCAACATGGATTCACCAAGAGCAAGTCACGCCTAACCAACCTGATTGCCTTCTATGATGAGATAACTGGCTCTGTGGATATAGGGAAAGTGGTGGATGTGATATATCTTG